CTTCTTTAGTTAAGAATATATTATCTATTCCTTTATTATTTTCAGTATTTTTATGTTATAATATTCTAATTATTACATTTACTAAACAACCTGTTATCAGGAAGAGCTTGTTCAAATCAATTTAATTTATACACTGAAAAAACAAATTTATTGTTTTTTTTTAAGTTTTTTCTAACAAATATATTAGGAGAGATATATTATTTTAAAGAAAAATTTTATCTCATTATCTATATCCATTAAAGAAATTTAACTTTGTTATGAGAAATATTAAATTAAATCTTTATCTATCTAGTAAAACCAAAAAAAATCTATCTGATAACTAGAGATAAATGATTACAACTCTAAAAATAATTGTAATATCTTATAATCTTTATTATTATTGAATAGACTCTTTTATTAAATATACTTAGTAGTTAGATTAATATTTTATATCTATCTATATGAGCATATAAAGAGTTTAAAATAGATTTAAATTCTTATAGAACTAAGAAAATATATTCAAATATATAAAGTAATTAATAAAAGATTAATTATATTCTTTTACTGATTTATTTAATTTTATTCAATTATTGCCTGAAAAACTTTATACTACTTAAAATTTGAAATCAAACTAAGATAGATAAAATTATCCAGAGATAATTGAAAAAAACACTTCAAATTCAAATAAGAATAAAAAAAGTGAAAGTTCTATTTTTTTAATTTTATGCAACTCTATAATATTCTTCTAGAAAGTAAATAGATAGCAACACTTTAGTTTTTTTTTTTTTCTAAACTTTTTTACTATTGATAGAAAAGATACATTATAACTTTTAGATTATTAGCAATTAAGTTTTTGTTTGAAATAATTATAAATAAGAGAAAGAATAAGCAAAAATGACTCTTATAGTTCTTTTCAAATTGGTTTAAAGAAAGTATTAAAACTTTATTAGTAGAAAATATAAAAATTTCTTGTAAACATCTTTTATATATGTGATTGAAGAATTAGTAGAAAGAGTTAAGCTATTACTTGTCAATCAATTTTATTAGTATTTATAATAAAAAGAGTTTTTATACTTATATAATATTTATTAATAGTTACATTAAATAGACAATTGAATAACTTGTTTTAAAGACTTTTTAACTATTTTTATAACTTTTTTCAAGAGTTTTTAATAGTTAGAACATTTATAGATTATAATAAAATAATAAATGTTTTTAATTTTTTTTTTTGAAAAGTTATAATATAACTAATTAAGATATTAGAACAATAAATAATACAAAGAAGTCTATTAATATAAAACATTTCAAAAGATAATTTGATAAATAAAATTTAAGAAAAATTATTGCAAAAAAAAGATATTTATTTAAGAAATTAAAAATATTTTTATAATAAAATTTTGAATTTTTTTGAAAAAGTGATAATCACATAATTGTGATAATAAATTATAGATCATTAATATTAGATATTAAATTTGAATAATTTAAAAGAAATCTAGAAATACTATATATGATTATTTTAAATTTTTATAAATTATACAGTATATCGTATGTATATTTTATTATATTGACATTTGTCATCTGTTATTTATATTTATAAAAGTTATAAACCATTAACATATAAAAAATTTATATATATTTCTTTAAATAATAAAAATTGTAGATATAAATGAAACAGATTGTTAAGTTATAAAAAAATAATATATAAACATTAGTAAAATTGGTAATTCCAAATATCATTTTAGAGAAGTCAAATTTAAATAACATTTAGGATCAATAATAGTATTTTAAAGACGGGATTTCATAAAAGCTCTAGAGTTGGAAAGAAACCTTCTCAACAATTTCTTACGGGCATCAGAAGATTGGAAGCGTGTTTTAAATTGAAATTTGCAATTTAAGAATCTTAGTGAGACAATTGTAAGGCACTAACTGAGGGTCTAAGCAAGGATGCTATCTGACTTATTTAAGTTTATAGGCAATGAACCAAAAGATCTGGCAAGAAAAGCCTGGCATTAATAATGAATTAGGTGATTGTCATTCAAAAATTATAACAAACGAAATTATATGTAATAAAAGATTATATTCTAATGGTTTTCATCATTTTTTGTTGTAGTTTTTTGCCGATTTTTTATACGTGATTGTGTGTCACGTCTTTAATATGTAATAGTGATGCTTTATACAGTTATTGATCAATGAATATATTTAAAAAATCATAAGCAAAAATAATCATTATTATATGGGCTACGTTTTTTATAAAATCTTGAAACTTGAAAAAAAAAAATAAATTAATTCGAATAATTTGTAGATAATTCAGAAACAAAGTTCACTTGAATTGGTCAAAAATAATGATATATGGCGTGCGTTGCAAAAGATAAAATAAACGGTCAACCTACTTTTTAAACTATTATCTTTAAAACAATAAATACGTATAAGTAATGCATTAATATTTTGCAAATAAAAAATTGAAATCATTGTGTAACAATATGTTTTAATATTAGAAATATAAATGATGACAGACTCAAAAAAAGTTTAAAGGCTTAAAAGTAAAAAGATAGAAAACTTGAGGTCAAGAAGTTTAATGAGTGGAAATAGGGAATTCGCAAGAAATTGTTATATAAAGTTGTAGTTACTGAACAGTGTAATGTTTGCATATATTCCTATGCGTGATATTGTATAATTTGATGTTGCAACAATCCGTTTTATTTTTACAGATATAGATTCTAAAATATTCCTAATAATAAAATTTAAAAAGCTTATTATATACGGTATTTTATCTTAAATTCATCAATTTTTTGCCAAAGTAAAATTATTGATAATATATGCGCATCGAAGAAGGTTTGGATATAAAAAAGAAATTATTCTTACGCATTCTTAACGACACCGCTAAAGCATATAATACTAGTCTCTTATAATGTATCTCTTTTGAGACCACTATATACTGTTTAAACATAACATTAGTATCATGTAAAAACCATTTACGGATATTACTTATTTCTGGTGTTTCCTCCCTATGGATTGTCTTTATAATAATTATTTTAACAGTCTTTAAATGTAATTACTGAAAATTGTCTATAACAGAATCCATCTTTTCCTAATAGCACCAAATATTTCTACTATATCTATGCTATCAGAGTATTATAATAGGCAAGATAAACTTAAGTTAGACATTAAAATCTTCTCTTGATTATAGAATTTTCCCGGTGTTTAAGTCATGTTAAATTAACCCTTCACGACGAATATCTCTTGGTCCGTGTAATACATGATGAGAACATGCGGTCTATCTTTAAACATTTGTTTTTAATTAGCAATTTAACTTAACTCACGAGCAAAGGTAAAACATAACGTACAATCCTCGGTTTTGGTATAATTTAGAGACTCATAGCAACGGAGCACTGTAGTGGAAGAAAACTTATAATGTTTAAAATGATTAAAAGATATACACTATAACGAGTGAGTAGTTCAAATCTTGTGATTGTAAATATTGAATGTATTTAAGCAGTAATTGTCTCATTAGAAAGACCAAGGAACTTTTATCTATTTGTTAGTCAAGTATTTTTGCGCTACAAACGTGTTTCTGTATCTATTTTGCTCGTAATTCCATATCTAAACCTTCAATATAATTTGCTTTATAAATAGTTCCGAATTCGCCTTTGATAACAAACTTTATATTATCGAATCTTTTTACAGGAATCAAACATCAGAGCATTTAAAATTACGCAGTTGATTCGGTCTTCCCGTTTTGAAAATTGCCTTATAAGCTGTTCACTTTTGTAAAATTGGCACCATATCAGATACATTTTTAACCTATTAGGCTAAACTGTCGTCTTCTCCTATGTTCTTAATATTCTCTTTTACTAATGAGTTATGAAGAACTTCATTTACTTTGCCGTATATCCCTTTGATGTAATACTGCATGGATTTAGCTTACCACACATTTACTGGCATTCACCCATCTCGAATACGTATGCAGTTTTTCTATATGTTGCGATAAAATATATCCTTTATAATATGTTGTGTCTGATTCATATCCTTTAGGGAGAATTTTCAATAGTTATAAAATTTCATATCTTCTAAAACTAATTTGTATCGCTTCCCTCCAAATACATTTATGCCCGGCGATAGATTTTTCAACCTCTCTGTTTTCAGGAAATCTTTAGCCTATATCCTTAAACGACCCATTCAAGTAAAAAGAGAAGTGTTAGCAAAAACTTCGTTCCTACAAGAACGAATAAAGATACTTTACAAGGACACTATATCCCATGATAATCACGAATGCTTCTGTCTTGTCTAGTGGAAACAATACATGGTTAACATGTTTGATATTTGGATGATCGTCTGTTACTGTAGCATGTACTGTAGCATGTACTGTACTACAATTTAATATTTTATCGTATGAATATTTTGGTGGAACTGATGATATTATAATTTAAAGTTTTATATTTGCGAACTACTTATTTACTTTGTATTGCTGTCTCGAATACTTACAGTATATTGTATTTTAAATTAACTGTGCTACATATTAAGATTTCTGTGCAATTCCAGTTTTGATTGATCCGAGTCTCAAACTTCTATTAAAATTAGAAACTATTTCCAATAAAATTACCGGCGCAGTGCGTGCCATTTAAAAATGCAGTACGCTGTGTAATCGTTGTACGCACATATCGATATGATAGGACAATTAATGACTTCATATATGCAATACCAATTCCTTAGTACTTATTTTTTCATTATTCATTTCGCTATACCATTTCATAATTTGAATTGATTAATGCAATTAACATTCACCGCCAAGTCATAACGGTATCCGTAAAAATAAAAATATGTACAAAATGAAATAAATCCACAATAAGTAAAATGGCGTTTCGGTTTACCGTGTGTACGTACTCTTAAATATCTGCATACGCAATTTATCTGATTTCAAAACTCGATGATAATTGATTTTACTTCGCAAACTTGGTCTTGCACCTATATATTTACTAAAAATTAGATAAATTATCGTGTGAGAATTTCGACTTGTAATTCAAATGGATTCCAAAAATTCCAAGTATAAGAAATTTATAAACGGCATCCAAGATGGCGTAGGCACAGTCCTAGAATTGGGTATTTCGATCTCTCAGGCAATCCCTGTTGCTAGCAACATTGTCCTAGTTATTGATAGGATAATGGAGTTGGTTCAGAAGGCCACATCAAATAAGGCTCTTTGTAACTTCATTGGTGAACGCCTATATTACGCAAGATCGATGCTAGAAACAAATCCAGTCGACGATAGTATAGACGTGGAAGTCTTAAATCGTTATCTCGATGTGTTAAACGCGGTGGAAGAACGCATCAAAATAATAACAGAAGATAAAGATAAGATAAAAGTGTGGATAAATATAAAGAATTTTACGACGGCGAAAGAGGTAATTCGTGAAATTTAACCGTTCTAAACGCATATTCCTTCGTATTTATTTAAAACTTCCGTGTTTTTTAGCTTGAACAAGAACTTATGCTATTATATTACGCACTCACCTCAGCAAATGATGAGCTTTCTCTTTCAATAATGAAAGCCACACATAAAAATTTAATAGAAATGCAAGGGAATGTAACAAAGATAAACACAGGTGTAGATCAACTTCAGAAGGACATCCATATACTTGCCATGAATCTTGACATGGATGGTTGGAAAACGGAAAACGTCATGTTGAAAGCGGAAAAAATTACGGAGCTGCAAAATCAGCCGAGAGTTATTCGGGGCAGTCGAGGACAAGTTGTTAAGAAAAAATATCTGACACAAGACGTTGCCCAAATATCAGAACACAATGATGAATTATCCTTAAAAGTTGTCAGTTTGCTTAAATTATTGACAAATTGTGAAAACGTGATTAAACTGTAAGTAAAAGTTATGACGTTGCATCTAAATAAAATTCTAAGTGTAGTTAATGTGTTATGAAAATGAAGGTTCGGCATCTGTAATTCGGACAGGAAGTTATATTTGATTACCGAATGGTGTGAACACGGTAATCTTGAAGAATATTTGTTGAAAAATAAGGAACTCGACTGGAACATAAGAGTCAACATCGCCATGGACATTGCCAATGGGATAGTATTCTGTCATGACCGTGATATCCTACATCGCGACATTAGAACGTCTAATATATTGCTTGATGCACGCTTACGTGCTAAACTTTCAAATTTCAAATGGGCTCGTAGGGTTCAGAGCGTTTCCGTTCCTAAGGAAAGATTGATTGATGTTTCCAGGTAACAACATTTCTATCTCCTTGACTACGGTACAGATGTGGTAAAAATGCTCCTGCATCATCTATATATTCTTACAGATACACAGCACCCGAAAAACTTAAAGATGATAAATATCCCTACTCAAAGCGTTGCGATATTTATAGGTAGCTCTTTACGACGATACTTTAGAAATGTAAAAAACAATTGCTAACATTTTTCACTATAGTTTCGGCATTGTCCTCTGGGTTATTGCTGTACAAGAGGTTCCTTATGCAAATATGGAAAACTTCACAAAGATTTCTAAGCACGTCCTAAATGAAAATCGTCCTGAACCTGTCGACGAATCCATCATCCCAAAAAAGTACATTGAAATTATGAAAGAAGCATGGAGTCATCTCAGTAGTAACCGTAAAAGTGCCGACGTAATGTACAATAAGCTTTCTAAATGTTTGACAGATGATGATGATGTATCATCGATCACTCTTTCAGAAGAAACTGCTAAATTTAACGAAGCAGTTGGTAACCATGGCCTTCATAAGTATGAAGAAGCCTGGCCGATTTTCCGCGACTTGGCATCTGCCAATCACACCGAATCGATGTTTTACCTCGGCTATTATTATGAAAAAGGATATGTCGTGCCTCAAAACATCGAAAGAGCACTAAAATATTACCGGAAGTCAGCTAATGCGGACTGCAGTCATGCATCTTATAATTATGCCAGAGTTTGTTCAAGAATCGCCCATGAATACATGGAGAAAGCTGCAAAACTTGGACACTTCAGTTCTGGCATGATATTAACTGAATGGTCTCTCATAGAACTCCGCATGTCTCCTTTGCGTGATAAGTGTAATCGTCTTTTGAGTTATCTAGACGCCGACAAAGAAGAACTTAGACGGAATGATAAATTTTCTTCGGATGATCGAAATGAGCTCGATGAAAGGATCGAATATTTACGAAAGGAGATTATGCAAATACTCGATTATTCGCAAACCGAGTAAACAAAAATATACCCAACCATTTTTATTTTGCTATAGTTACAACAATTCTTGTATCTTTTAACGTTATACAGTATTTACTGTTTACCATTATAAAATAAATTCTTACGTTAAAACCTTGCTTAATATGTGATGCAAAAATATTATTCAAACGCTCCAAATACTGAATGTAAAATCTTTCTTGGTTTATTTAAACTATTCAATTAAAAAAACAAAGAGAAGGGATAAATAGCAAGCCGAACAAATAATAAAACATAACCCTTCTTTAAAAAAATTTCCTGTATAATAAGCACCTTACTATGTTGACCTGAAATTTGAGATATCCTTTCAATTCATACGCTTAAACAGTATTCCCGAGAACATATTAGTAACATGTATCGCCGGTGGCTTGGCTTTGAATAAATAAAAAAAAAAAAATTTTGTCAACATCACGCTTTACCATTAACACGTATCGCATCCGGTACAAAAACTTACTCTTGTTAAAATCAAGAGGAGCTGATGTTGTCTTTTTATCTTCACGAATTATTTTTTCAGCGCCTTGCGCTGATGATGGATTGACTGTTGAATAACAGCTTGTTTTCAGTGATTTCTTTTTCGGTTTTTAAATCATACGATATTTATCAAGACATACCTTTATTAATATTATTGATAACCGTCCCATTATCCTTAGAACTTGATCTCTCAATTATCGTCTTATTAGCCTTGAAATCCGGTTCGTGAAAATTGGGAACAATCGAATTTATCTTCGTTCTCGAATAATCCCCGATGATATTAAAATTTGCTATGCACAATGGAAATATTTCTAGGTTAGAGACAAGACATAGCGATTTCAATTAATTGCAATATAGTTCTTACATAACCAGTTCTTAAAGTCATTAACTTGGATAGTGTTGTACTTGTCGTATATATTATCTAAGTCGACATCCAAATTACGTGGTTAATAATAAGTTTAGAAACGAAGCAAGAAATAAGAATTAAGAATACGATGTCTTAGTTTATATAACCGAATAATGTAAAAGGATCATTTAAAATTTAACTTGTATCTCTGCTACCTTGACTCTAAAATGTCAAGCAAGTTTGTTTAAAACCACTAACCATTTTCGGCTTTCGTTTTAGGTTCATCATCCTCTGAATCTGTAAGAAGACATTACCAAGTTTTATAATTACGTAATTTAAATACATTAATGAAATTGCTTTCATGAACATACACGTGTAAGTGTAGCTTCCGTGAGATCGAAGGGTTTCTCTACTTTTGCTAAGGTCACGACTTGAATGTTTGGATTCGGTAAGGTTGTATGCCACATCCAATAGATCCAATTTGCTTTCAACAAATTGTTTTACAATCGGTGATGTTGGGTCGTTATTAAACTTGTTAAGCCAGAGTAAAATTGTTTGATATAGTTCTTCTGAAGTTGGACGATTGTTGGGATTCACATCCCAACATCTTTGCATCAATTCTTTATAAATCCTCGGTGTTCCCTTCATAATCTCCGGACGAAGAGGATTTTCGTGGTCGCAAATATTTAAATTAAATGCAGGCTCGCTCCAATCCCGATCATAAAAAGGATATTTCCCTGAAGTGAGCATCCACATGATCATTCCGAAACTGTATATATCCGCTTTCTTGGTATAAGATCCGCCATGTAAAACTTCTGGTGCAACAAATGGAAGAACGCCCATTAGTTTCGGCTCATCTTCTTCATATGCATGCCGAGATAAACCCAAGTCAGAAATGGAAATCGTCCTTCGATAATGAAGAAGATTTCCAGTATGGAAATCGTCCTTCGATAATGAAGAAGATTTCCAGTATGGAAATCGCGGTGGACTAGATTTTCCCGATGAATATCCAGTAATCCAAATAGTATATGACGTAGAATATCCAATCTGTCTATCCAATTTAAATTAGTAGCATTTTCTTTCAGATAATTGTTTAAATCACTGCCATGGGCGAAAGGTAGAACCATAATATAATCGCCAGTTGTGGGCTCTCTGGAGACACCATAGCAACGAAGCACCGTACTAGAAGAGGACTTCATGTAAGCTTTGATCTAGAATAATTGATAAGAATATATTGAGCAGATAATTCAATTAATTTCACAAAATTTCTTTCAGAACTCACCTCGTTAAAGAAACTGGGAGATAATTCTTTATTTGATTCAATAAGTATCTTTAACGCCACAGGAGTATTTTTATACCGAACTCTCTCACCAAGAACGTAATCCCAAGATCCTAACCCTTCAACCCAATTTGCTTTATAGACGATCCCAAACCCACCTTTATTAATAAACTCCACATTACTAAATTGTTCGAATGGGATCCATTCTATATGACCATTAGGGTACTTGATGTTTAACAATGAATCCTGAACAAATTCAACCATTGAGTTGTCAATTCCATTTATCCATCTCGCGAACTGTTTCATAAGCTGCTCGCTTTCGCAGGATTTGCACCATTTCAGATATGCATATGGTCCTTTACATTTTGAACACTCCTGTGGTTGATTCTTATAAGCTGGGGCCCTACCCATTTTTAGCCTGTTAAGTTGACGTGTCGTATCCTTGTATATCTTGTTATACTCGTTAGTCTTCTCTCTTACTAATGAGTTTAGTTCTGTAAGCTGACAAAGAACTTCATTCATCTTGCTATATATCCCGTTAACCGTGTCGTTGTAGTAACGATCAAGCTTATCGCACATTTTCTGACAATCCTGCATCTCATCTATACAGGTCTTCCAACCAGTGATATAGGTTTGCGCTATGATATATCTTTCTCGATACGTTTTATCTGACTCGTGGCATTCAGGGGGGATTTCTGACGGATAATTACGTTCCGTAGTTTCGAAAGCTGTTTTGTATTGACCTCCTCCCAATACATTAAGGTTTAAAAATTTCTCAATATTTTTTCTGAGTTCTACCAGAGGTTGAGCGACCTTGTTATTCTCATCAAATATTCCGTTAATATCTTTAATTGTCCCTTCGGAGTCAAATAGGAAAGGAAAATCATTCTTGGACGAAAATATATCACGACAAAAGAGAAAACGAAAAAACTTCACAAGGTTGCACTGATTAAACTCCATAGTAATTGCGAATATTGGTTTTGTCACCAGGCGAAAAAAAAATCTCGCGTTATAAATGCATTACGTGGACGTGAATAACGCAACGCGAACAAAATTATTTCAATTGAATTTTTGGATGCAATCATCAACCAATTATTTTAATATTAATCGTACTACATAAACAAATTCAAAATGCGCGAATGCCCGACATTAAGATGTTGTATAACGAGTCTTTTCACAGGATGCTTATCAATGAAGCTCTCTATATGCCCGAGATACGGAACTCTAAAAACATCTATTCCGTTAATTGAAGCATAATGCTTTCTATAAAACAAAATACCAATGACTTTTACAGTGGTTTCTCCACCAAAGGAAAGGATGTTAACTTTCAGCCAAATCAATTCAAATTCAGCTTGATTATCCAAATAACGAACTGGTTTATGATCTGTATTGTTCGGACTCAGTCCATATATGGTATGCGATCAAAGAAACGTCTCGTCATTCAATTTGTATAATGTTGTAATTACTGTACTACAGTCGATCGCAAAAAGTAGTACCCGATTTTTTATGAAAACCGGGCCGGGTGCGGGTTGACTGAACATAATTACTAAATTAGATAGAAAATAAAGTAACCATAGTTATTTGGGTAATTCTTTTTGAAGGCGGGCAGGGAGTTTTCGGACTCCAGAATCACTACCCTGAAAATTTCAATTGATACGTATATACAATATAAATTCCTAAAATAGATCTAGCCCCTAAAAATTACAAGTATGCATACGTATATAATGCCGAAAATAAAAAAATGTACCCTATATCACGGGATGATCGTCACGTATCGAAATTTGCGCGAAACTCGCGAAACTGTGAAAATTGACATTAATATTTCGCGGAATCAACTTTATTTCAATATACAGTAATATGTAGTAAAATAATATATATATAAATAATAAATATTTTTTAATATAATTCTTGAAATCAATTAATTTTTAATAAATAAAAATAACCTATGTTAGATGTTTTTTTTTTTTAAAAAAAAAATGAAAATATAATTTAATATAAAATAGAACTCTCATGAGAGGGAATAACCAGCCCCAAAGCAATATATAGCTACTCCTATATGTTGAGTCCTATTTTATATTATTGTCAAATTATATTTCTATCAGAATAGGAAAATTGCGTGTTTTTTCTATTCTAGTAAGTAACCTTTGCCTACTTTTGCTACCCATTATTGTTAGAGTGATATTTGTTGATTGTCTGGATGATGCCTATTTTGTTTTTCTTGTATCTTTTACTATTTTTATCTTAAAGGGAATTTCTATATACTCTTCATAATTAAATATACTAAGAGTTAAAACATATATTTACCATTAAATTTTGTAAATGATAAATATAAAAAAAAGTTATCTAAAGTTAATTTGTAAATATTATTTTGAGATTGTGTACATGAATAAATGTCAAATAAAATATTATTATAAGATAATTGAATTTTTCTTTTAAAAAAATCAATTAATTCTTCAAGGGTATAAATATTTTGAATAAATTCACCTTCAAAAGACTATCACTAGTCAAAATTATGTCATTCAGCTGTCAAATTATTGCCAAATTTGACAAAAATTAATAATAAACAGATTAATGAATTATTTACAATTGCTATCACTTGGCATAAAAAATATTGGCAAAAAATTTAGTAAAAAAATTATTGCAACAAAAAAATTCATTAAAAATTTGATACTATGGCAAAAAATTCAACAAAAAAATTGTAGCAGCAAAAAATTTGATAAAAGTCATAAATTCAATATTGAAATTCAATAAATATTCAGAAAGTTTAACAAATTTCATGAAATTCATTAAAAAATTACAAAATTAATTGATTAAATTATTCGTCACTTTTCTCTTACCCGTCTTTCTCCTTTTTCACTTGCATTTTTTTTCTCTTTAAAGATTTTAGTTTGACTCTTTTAAAACTAACCCCAATTTATTTTATTTTATCAAATGTTTTCTGAGATTTTTGCTTTTTTCTACTAATATTTTTGCCCCTGAATTTTGCTAATTAGTTTACTTTTTTCAATTTTTTTCTCACCCTTTAAATATATTAATGATTCCTTACATTCAGTCATTTTCCATCTTTTGAATTTAACTATTAATTTTTTACCTTTTCCAGTCACCTTTTCTTGTTCATATTTTGAAATCTCTTTTAAACTGTATATCCAATTCAGTAAACCTTCTAGTGATATCATATTATAGAAATATGAATTATCATAATATTATTTATGAGTTAGCTGTAATGTTATAATTGATTTCGAATGTTCATTCAAATATTTCAATAAATTCTTTAACTATAAGTAATTATAATTAATATTATAATTATTTGTTATAAAATATTTTGTCAAAAAATATCTTTTCAGAACATCAACTATAATCATATATATTTATTCATCTTTTAGTGGAGTTTCCCAAATCAGTTTTACTTTTTTCAGAAGAATGCACCTTGTTTCTTTAATTATATCAGTTAATTTATTTCAATATTTGACAACTTTCTTGAATATTTATTTAACAAGTAACTGCGTGTTTTTAATTCTTTATACCTTTTTCTTAATTATTTATTAAAAATTAATACATAAAAATAGTATAAATATAGATTATTATTAATCTTACTTTATTTAATTATCTTTTTGCATAAAAGCGATAATTGTTTGCTTCCAGTTTTTCAGTTTTTATCTTCTAATATCTTCTTCTCTAATGATAATATAAAGTACCTAATAACTAATTTATCTGCTTTTATAAGAGATTAAATTATGGGGTTATGAATTTTATTAATTAGGTATCAACTTTTGTAATATTTTTTTATTACATCAATTAAAAAAACTTTGTCTACCTTCAGTTTATATTTATCAGAAATGGTTTTCATTAAGGCTTTCATTTCTACTATCACTTCTTCTAGTTTTGGCTCATTTTTGATAATCAGTTTTACTGATTTAGTCTCTTTAATACTTCTTCTAAATTGAATTCTTTAATGTTTTCCTAAACTTGACAAACTTTCAGATTCAAATATATTAGCTACTCTAGATTCTACAACAACTATAATATCAAGTTCAAGGTTTATATATTTGAACTGATTAATTCCCTTTTTTAAATTTTCTATTTTATTTTTTTAATATTCTAATTCTTTAAAAAAATTGTCATTAATATATTCCATTAGGTTTAATTATTTTATAAATTCAAATACAATTCAAAAAACTCTTTCTGATGATTCTCTGACTACACACAAAAAAGACCTTTACAAGAAGTTTTTCATACTTTTGGCTAATAAAGTCTTATCACTTTCCTTAAACCAACTTGAAGTAGCTTCAAGAGCCATTAACTACCTTTA